GATGTCAATGAGAGGTCTGGGGTTGACCTCTCAGATACAAGACACTCAGGCTGTTACCACAATAGTAATCCAATCTGTGTCAATGACCTAAGAGTAATTTAAATATTATCAACCAGTCAGACTGTGCAAAAGAGCAAGCTACCCGGCATCAAGTGGACTCACTTTTCTCCACAAGGAAGTGAATATTACTGAGCAGCTTTGGGGTTGTGTGTGGAAAGTTCTTGGTACCAAGAGCATGCATTGTCTGCACCTGTTCCTACTGCTTCCAGGAGTCAGGCAGTGGGGGAAGGAGGGTGTTGAGTGTGTGAGTCTGATCATAAGCTGACTTCTCTCATGTAACTATCTAAAGGTGACCACATGCTCCTTGCAGTGGCCAGCGGTATAAAAAGTTCACATTATACTCACCTGGCCTCTTAGGCATCAACTCTGCTTCCTGACATCCACATTCTCAAAGGCCATTACCAGGGTTTAGGGCCCTGGTGTACATGTGCTGTCTCCTGAGAGTTTGCATGCCTGGCCATAGTACCCAAGACTCCCTTCTACAAGCCCTGGTTTCGGTTAAGTGCATCAGGGTGAAGCCTGCCGGAGTGGTTACTCATTGACCAACAGACCAGGCATTGGCTGAGGAGCAAGCAGGTCATTGTCTCTTGGCTGGTTTCCCTTGCTAGGTTGTGTGAATCCCCATGCCCCAGTCTCTGGAAACAACACAGACTAAGTCACTGTCCAGTGACAGAATGGATGTCACAGCATACAGGTGTTGAGAAGATGTTCACCATCTTTGATTCCAAGTGTTCCTTCTCAATGGTATTAAGATCAGAGGGGAGACATGTGCCACCTACACCAAGTTATCTCAATATCCCTCTGTAGCCATGCCTCTGCTGTTTCTCTCTCTCTCTCTCTCTCTCTCTCTCTCTCTCTCTCTCTCTCTCTCCCTCCCTCCCTCACTCCGTCCCTCCCTTCCTCCCTCCCTCTCTTTCCTCTCCCTCTTTTCTCTTCCTCTGTAACACAGTCTTAATGATCACCTACCCTTGGGATTGAGGCAGACCTGCCTGAGAAGCCTCATTCTTTCTAACCTCTAAGCCAGAGTCAAGTTTAGACCAGAAACCAAAAACTAATCATCTACTACAGGCTGTTAGATAGTGGTCTCAGTGATGCTTTTCAGCCATGTGCTGCCCAGAAATGAGCCTTGACAATCATTCCATACAGAGTGGCCATCCTTCACTGCATGGAGAGGCTGTCTGCCTGTCAGGTGCACGGGACAACAGTTTAAACAATTATCCCAGCTGGACAAGCAAGCAGACAGCCTAGCAGAAAGCCATAGCTCTATGGTCAACAAGGATGTCTAGGCCTGACCGCTGTACCCAGTGGAACTGGATACAAAGTAATTTTAGGAGTGCTGACTCCACCTCTGACCACTGTGCCCTAGGCTAGGTTTGGCCTACTCACTTCCAAAGTGGAGCAATGTCCCAGCATTCCATCCAAAGTGGTACCCATTTTCCTCCAGCTTGCTGTCACTTCCCTGTTAGGAGACAAATATGGTTCTGATAAAACTCCCTACAGTGAGGCCCCTTCACAAACACATAAACTAGACCAGCGTTCAGTGGGGCTGTGTCTTTTCTGATGGTCAGGACACAGGGATAAATGAAGGCTGCAGCAGGGAAGGAGGAAAAGGAAGGAGAGGAAGGAGCTCCCTTCCCCTCATGTGGGGAAACATTTCACTAGGATCAGAAACCTAAAGGGTGGACAGATTAATGAGTACTGCTAGTTATTCCCCTGCAGACTGGTCCACAGGGTCTGCATGTTCAAGGGCAGCTTGCGCGTGATATTGGCTCATGGCCCCCATTGAGGAGGATGCTGTGAAACACCAGCCCTGGATCATATTCCCTTGATAATGAGGATTTTCTGGAGGGAAATCTATGGTAATTGGCTCACCTCCTCCTGTGCTGGACACAGACCCTTCATGCTGGGGAAGTGGGCACACTGCCATCTGGACTTCCTGCAGAGCTCCTGCTTCTGCTGTCTCAGGCCACACCTGTAAGTCACCACCCTGTGTCTCCTGATGTAGAGAGCTCATCACTTTAAAGAGGACGGACATGGGAAAGGGACTCTAGGGGAACTTGAAATACGCAACACTTAAGCTAGACCTACTGGGCACCCCTCTCCCCATGGCTCCTCCCATCTGTCTCTTCCATTCTCTCTAAATTCCTTCCTTAGTCAATTCTTTCCTGCTGCCTCTGCAATCTCTGGATATCGTCCTCTGCTCTCCATTTCCAGCTCAACCATGACAATTTATTTAGCAGTGGATTTGTACTGTGTCATTGGAGATTTTGAAGTCAGAGTTTTAAATTTGCATACCCAGACAGTGAAAAAGTTAATGTGCCAAATGCAAAGGACAGATGACAGTATCAAACACAAAATTAATTACTGTCGTAGACACTGAAGGCCTGGAACCAGACCAGTGACTCCACAATGAGCACTAACAAGTGAAGCTATGTGGACAGAGGGGTTTACAGTGTGACTCACTCGGTCATACTTGGTCACTGTAGCTTCCATGAGGAAACCTTTAAGTTTCCCCCTTTCCCCCCTTTTTAATTTTATCTTATGTTTCCTTTTTTTCTGTTAAATTTTGTTGTATTGGGGCAGTTGTAGGGTGGAGGGCGGATGTGAAATGATGGGGACATGAATGTGATCAAAATACCTGATGTAAAAGACACATAGAATGAATATATATACATATGTATGTATAGAGAAATAAATAAATAGATAAATAAATAAATAATGGATAAATAAATAAGTAAATGGAATAAATAAATGAAGAGCATACAGGGGAAAGAGCACATACTCACCCCAAAGAGTGAAATTTACACATTTTTCAGAAAAGAGATAAAACTGAGGATGACTGTGTTATGTGTGACAAGCTTGTCCCAAAGACAAAGATCACTTTCTTTTTCATATGAAAAATCTGCAGGTCATAGGGTCAGAACATGAACAACAGAACACTCCGGATATGGAATAGGACAGTGGTCTTCCTGGGATGGTCCACAATGTTCTTGGGAGGGGCTGATCACCTCTACCATCACACTCTGTCTAGAGTGGAGTGTACAGACTCCTAGTTGGTTCAGAATCCAGAAACCTGCAGCCCTGGCTCCTCCATTAGCTAGGGAGTATGAACAAGATTCAGTGGCCTAAAAGCAACCCAAAGTGGTTTTGACAAATAACAAAAGCACTGTGGGACCCATGAGCAAGAGGAGCCATGGAAGTCAGCAGACAAGCAGACAGAATCTGGGTGTCAGATGAGTAGAACTGGAAGCTGCTAGGTAGAATATGTGGCTTCATGTACTGCCTCTGCCACTGGTGTCCTTAAAATGAAAGTCCTGCCTCCAACATCCCAAGACAGGCACCAGCTGTCTCAGTGACCCACCTTGAGTCCTCAGCTGTAATCTCAAGGCTCAAATGGAAAGAACTTAATCAATCAGACCAGGCAGTCAATCTGGACTCTCCTGATTGGTCAGGTTGAAGTCATGTGATTTGTGCCTGGACTGCAGGTTGGGATCCTGTGAAAAAGGATTAGAGAGCAGCCTTTGCATGCTCTGTGCCTTGTTTCCAAGGATGTATCAGCCAGTACATACCTCCTCCAGCCCACTGACTGGGGTCCCCAGAAGATTCATGACAGCAGTTCTCACCTCCAGGTATCTGTTCACTGGTGGACATAGACTTCTATTCTGAAGGTTAGATTTGGACTTCGCTACTGTTTGTAGTTCATCCTGGATGAAAGAACCTTCAGTTCAATCCCTGACACTGTTGAGATAAAAGAAGGACAGGACTTGTCTCCTTTCCTTCAAATGTTTGAGGAATTTACCATTGATGCTGTACAAACAGTACGTGAAGCCAGGCATGGGAGTCCACATGTGTAATCACAGCACTCAGGAGGCAGAGAAAGGGGGTCAATCACTATGAGTTTCAGAGCTGTATGTTCTACACAGAGAGTCTCAGGATAGCCAGGGCCATAAGGTGAGATCCAGTCTCAAAAAGAGTAAAATATATAAAATGAGGATTCAGGAAATTTCCCTATCTCATTTCCAGATTTCAACAGACTCCTCAAGCATTTCTCAGCCCTGCCTTCACTGATATGCAGCAGAAACACAGTCTGACACCAGGTGATACCCACAAACTGAAAATTTCTCTCTCTCTTCCTGAACAAACTGACTGATCTTGTATTGTGCACTTGGTACTCACCAGATGGTCAGGGTTCTAGAAGTCAGTGACAGCACAAGCTGGCCATCATCCACTGGGAAGATCCGGCCAAAGACTTTAACATGCATCAGTGTTTGCTAACAGCCCAGGATCAGATGGTCAGAGTGGAGCTCGAGGCCAGCTACAGCAGAAAAGCTGGTTCCTCCCTTGTCACACCTCTGCAGTCTCTCAGTCTCCCATTGCTCTTCAGTTGAGCAAGTCAATGAGAACTTTCCCTCTGTGTCAGGGCTGCTGGCACATGCTACTTCATGGGATCCTTTTCAGCACATCAAGACCAGACTTCAGAGACTTATCTTCTGCCACACACAGATACTTACTGTACTCAATCTTACCTTCAGGTGCATGATTCACACAGATTAGGACCCTGGATTCCCTGTCGAGTTCATTTTCCCTTGCCAAATCAGTGAGCTGCTCCCTAACTGGAAGGCGTCCTAGAAAACAGTTGAGACACTACAACTCAACCAGTGCTTCACACTGCACCAGGGGCTGTCATCAAGAGATCCATGATGATCAAGGTTTCCTTCTGAGTCTGACCCCAATGGTGGGCATTGGTCATTAAGAATTCCCATGGCTGCTGTTCTTGTAGAGGCAATACTCAGCATCAGGCCTGGCAAGGCCTACTTACCTTCCCACATTGGAGCAGAACAATGTTAATGTAAGATCAAATATCAGTTATAAATGCCTCTATGAGATGGAAAAATGATGCAGAATTCTTGGATCAGGAGGTGGGAGGCACCATGGGAAGCCTGGATGAAGGAGGCTATGGAGAAAAAGACATAGATGTCATCAGATCTGCCAAAGGCCATGACAGACAAGACCATCAGAGGACCCCACTGCATGATGCAGCCACCCTTCTCTTGCAACACCCTTCTTCAATAGCCCAGAATCAGAATCCCTTCCAAAGCAGCCTCATAGTTCTCTACCTTGACATATGCCAGTCACAATCAAGGCCTTCCTCCTCATTGCTGGCTATAAAGCTGAGGTCACATTTTGCTCTGTTTGAGACATTTGTTCCTGGTCTCACTTCTTCAACACCTGCCCCAGCAAAACCTCCTTTTCTCCACTCATTTCAGGTGAGCTCCTCTGGACACACTCTACCCTCTCTACAGGTCCTCTCATTTCCTCTTTATCCTCTCCATCCTCCTTTTTCCTGTTCCTCCCCCTTATTTCCATTCTCCCATCTCCCACTGGATTTACAGTTCCTGCAGTTCTTCTGAAAGACAGTCAGAAAGCAGTTTGGAGGTGATGAATGAATCAAAGAAGAGGGAAGCCTGAGATCTATGTGCAAGTCTGTCCTGTTGACAGAGGCAGCCCTTTTAGATGTCGTGGAACCCTGGTCCCTCAGGAACCATGAGGGATGTAGACATTCATTGG